AAATGATATCATTTAAACAAATGATATTTCACTTGGTATATTCTACAAACTGTAAACATACAAAGTATGATTGAAATATTGTTATATATATATATATATATATATTCTTCTTTACTTTCAATCATAAATTCTTAGAATGTTATTATTACTCAAAATTTACATATAATTTGGTAACATTTTTACATTACTTTTTATCAAATTATATATACATCACTGCCTACTGAGTTTTAAACTTTTAAAAGCAATGGTTTTAAATGTTGAAGACTTAGTAAACAATTGATCATCTTTGCCTAAAATGTTACCTGTTGCTGGCTTCACATATCTTTCTTTTGGTTTTTCGCTTATGATCTGATCCAAAACATCATCCTTTAGTGCTGGGAGCCACCTAGATTATAAAGGGGTAGGTCACTTGTGAGATAAAGAACAATACATTTTACTTTTATATACAATTGAAGGTATAATAATTAAATGTTCCCATTCTGATAAAAAAAAAAATTCCCAAGAAAGCAAACTGTTTTCAAAGTTTTATAAAACACAAAAAAAATGACTGCTTTTAAGACTTCCCATTCTGATAAAAACAAAATTATCAAAATACCTAAGAAAGCAAACTGTTTTCAAAGGTTATAAAACCAAAAACAAATTACTGTTTTTCAGACTTCCCTCCTTCTAATTAACCTATGCAACATTAAGTTTCTTCCTCTAGTTCAGCAGTTACCTGTACATTCTACAATAAATACAATTGTACATAAACTAAATTTATATTGCAAGATACATATATTTTTGATTAATCATTACAGAGTATTAGCAAAACACTAAAGCCAATGTCCTTAGCTAGTTTTTGACAATGCAACAAAGCCTAATTTTACTTTCAAATAAGCTTGTAAGCAAACCATTCATCACAGATATTTTTCCATAAAGATATCAAATTTAAGTTTTAAGTTACGAGCTTATAAGATAAATTTGTTATAGTTTTTAAATAGTAAAATGTATGTTTTATTTGGCAATGTGATATTACACTTCCTTTAATAAAGAAAAAAACCTTGAAATTTAAAAATAAATTGCATTTAATTTCTTAAATATTTCAAAACTGACAAAAATTAAAGTGACACCAGTATATAACTGAATAAAATCACTAGCCTTTACATGTGCTTATAAATTAAACCATATACTTTTACAAACATACTCAACAGCTTACTACATGTTCTAATACCAAAAGAAATAAGCAACTTATGTATGAACATTTACTTACTTGCGGGTTAATGTTTCAGTATCATAGAAATAAAATGTAAGACATTATACATGTAGTTGATTTTTAGGTTTTTTACGTTTGTAAGTTCAGTCATGTATACTTGTGTTGTCAAAAACTGTAATTATCTTTAAGACAAATGTACAAAAAAAACTATAATTATTTTAAATTGATTAAAGGTAACTATAATTTTGGTTAACCAACAAAGTGCTAATTTTCCATAAAAAAAAATAAGTATATATAGTATATTACTTGTTAATTTTGAACTCAATATACACAGATAAGTACTAAAAACAGAAAACATATATGACTTAGTGACTTATTAAACAGTGTTAGAGCTGCAATAAATTTTTTGATGAATGTAGTAATGTTCTGATAAAATACAATATTAGAAAAAGGTATCACTCTTTTATTTAGAACACTTGGCTGATATAAGAACAAATCCCAGTTTTATGTTCAGAAAGTTACCTGATAAATTTTTTTACAAAGCAACTGACAAAGGCTAGATCATAGACTCTGTACCATTTGGGAAGAAGGCTTTCTTTTATGACATTTTCATCTAACAAAAATGTTAGAAACTGAAAAATATAAAATCAAAATGTACCATCTAGATTACGAGATAACTGCTTCAAGTGATATTTCACAGGCAGTCAACAATAATTTGATATTAACCTAAGCATCAAACTATTACTTGTGTGCACAACTGTAAGAAATATTTAGAGTTATGATATTTCATTCATCCATTTAAATTCTTTAAGCCTTAATTGTATGTGATTTTAATGATTTAACATTAGTAATTAATAATATTAATCTACAATCTGCACTACTATAAAAGTCTTTAGAAAGATAATGATGATGAATACTAAGAATGATTGAAAAATATGCTCACAGTTTTATACCTTTTTAACTGATCTTGAATTTTTCTGCAATATGAATTTTTTCAGTTGTTGAATCCCAATGTTTTCAAGCCGAAAGAGAACGAGATAACAAATAACTAAAATTAAATAAAGTAACACTTGTTTACAGAAGTAATCTCACACACTAAAGTATACTTTATTCTTATAATTATTATTGCAAAAAAGTTTTGAATGGCAAAAAAAATTATGATGAATAGTATTCAAGTATTAAACAAAATACAGGGGCATTAAAAAATACACTATGAGAAAACATGATATTTCTGGATGTAATAAAATTTTCTTTTTTAGGATTATAATGAATTTAAAACAGGTACTTACCTCTGAAATAATGATATCCTTTCCTTGTAGAGTTGCTCTCATGCAGTCACCAACCATGTGACTAGAATTTACCAATACTTTTTCACTCTCCCACCTTTCAAATGACTTATTGCACATCTGTCAGAAGCTTTTATTTAATCTTTTTTTTTTCTTGCCATAACATAGATTTGTAATTTGCAGTCGTGATGGAAAAACAAATGATCAGGTTGTGGGGAGGTGAGTAGAAATGTATTTTAGAAGTAAGTAGTAATTTGAAATTCATTTTAATCCTAAAGCTGTATAATTCAAACCTGATAGATTTACCTCTGAAATACTAAAGCTAGAATATACACAACAAAAAGGAGGCAAGAATCAAAAAGATATAGATTAGACAAAATATATAGGTATAAGGCAGGAAGGGAATGTAATGATGTGGGCAGTGTAGAATCAAAAACCAAAAATATTGAAAGAAATTTATTCAAGTAGAATGAGTGGAAGAGAACATTATATAAAGACTGTATCTAAGGACAGCCAGAAGGAAAACATTCTTCTCAGTAGAGTACTTCTTCACCTTGGACATTCTTCAGTTCATTCAAAAAAAGGTCAGTCATGGTATTAACATGTTTAGTTTTGGAGCCAACAATGGAAGTACAGTGATCATGTAAACATGTAGGAGGAGTACGATGTCCTGCTCCTGTAGTGGAAGGTTCATCAGCCCAGGGAAAATTGCAGGTAGACACACTCTTTGGGTGTTAGCTTTTCGTCATCCAAATCTGAAAATGCCAGTGAGTCACAAAAATGGCCAAACCGTTGGGCACTCAGTGAGAACCATAGAAAGATCAAAGCCGTCCCATGGATGGGACTTTACAATTTGAGGACAGTGCAATAAGAAAAACAAAGTTAAACAGAAAAAAGAAATGTTCCACAACCTGGTTGGAACTACGAGATATCTATCGAGAATGGGTGTACCTGTCTGTATCAGATATTTCTAATGTCATGAAAGGATATGTATCAGAGATTGTAAAAATACTTGCTGAGACATCATCAACAACCAGATGGCATAACATGAGAGAAACCTCTACAAGTAAATGGTGTTAGTATTTTGGAGGTAAGTACCTTATTTTAAAGTGTAAGTATACTGTATACATGGTATACTCTAACAATGTATTGTCTACATATAAATTCATTGTAGATAAAGTATCCTAGCCAAATCATAAAATATTTCTTCACTATAAATAAATGACAGGACAACAGCTTCTCCAAACAAAACTGTACAGATTTTTATAAGTTAAGTTCAACAGTTTACATTTTTTGTGACAATAATTTAATCATTATGTGTGTATTATCAAGACTGCTACATATCAAGCTTCACTGTGAAATCAAAAAAAGGTTTGATAGCAGCAAAAGTTAGCATTTTCCTTACCTGAAAATGTATTTCACATAGATACTTACCCCTCTGCATCATTAAGAGCTATTACATCATGTGAAACTGCCATGTAAGTTCCTGTGCATAGCACAAGTCTTGAACAAACTCTCAATCCTACATGTATTGTACAAGCCTATGACATAATTTTCATAATCCCACAGCCCTCTGCCAATAGAAGAGTGACACAACCTCCATGCACAGTAATCCCTGTGAGTATTAGCACATGATAATAAGCTCATTCTTGATGAGGCAAACAGAATGCACCAGAAGTAGGGAGGAAGGGTGGAAAGTGGTGCAAGAGACTAAGTATGTATCTGAAATATATTTCCAGGTATGGGAAGTGTTAACTTCAGAAACATTACTCATATCTCTCTCTCTCTCTGGGCCACTAAGAGCAGGAATCCCACATTGAAGATGGTGGAGAAATCAGTAATTAGCCATTACAAAGACAAATTCTTTTCATAAATAGTGAAAGAAACGAAAAGCCTGTGGGGTATTTCTTCCAGAGACCGAGGATCACTTAGCTAAGCAGTACCTGGTGGAAGATTGCATCCTTCTCTAGCAGGAAATACTCTTCATTAGTATTTGTTCTGTTATTTGCATTGAGATAGTACAGCAAAGGATATCATGTAAATCCAGTGTTGGTGATAATGAGTCACCAAGGTGGGCAGAACCTTAGAATTTGTAATGCGGCTGTGGCTGTAATGTTTCATCCAGGTCAGGTACTTACAGAACACAGAGACTATAATAACAGGCAGAGGGAGGAAGAGCCCTCGCCTGCATACCAAGACAAATCCAAGCCTCTTCTGGCTAGATATATCCATCAGGAATTGCTTGGGAGAGTTTCTAATGGAGCATGCTATACTACACTTTCAGGTAACACACCAGCCATATACCTCAAATTTGGGGTAGGTCCAACCAGTTTCTTATTAGGGAGGGAAGCATCATTTCCAGAGTAAACTCCCCATATTGACATCCCTAGTGGCTTGGATCTGGGGAAGTAAAAGTTCTCCTATTCTGCACTAGAAGGACAGGAGGTGGAATATGCATAGGGAAAACACTAGAGAGTGTGCATGGACCACTGTCATAAGGCAAAATCATCTGGAACTGGGTACTCATTGAGAGACAGTGAAATGGGTTTGTTTGTTTTTTGTAAAAGGTACAGAAACAGCCATGTCAATTCTGTAGATGTATCACTGAAGCAGTCTTGCAGAAAATCCAATCTCAATAGTTGGCACTTGGCAGGGATGGATGGATTTAACACTTTCTGTAGTCCCCCACTGAATGGAGATTTCAGGTTAGTATTCCTTGGGAGGCAATGCTGGCCACTTGTTGGAATACAGTGATACCAAACAAAATGATTGTAGTGTTTTATTTCCTTATTTGTTTTTTTTTTTTTGTTTGTTGAATCTGCATGAAAGGAATGGCACACACAAAGTGGTGTGATGAAGTATGCAAGATGGAAATCAAACTAAATTAGAGAAGGAATTGGAAAAGAAAATCAACAGGCAAAAACCACCAGACTAGAGCCTGAGGAAGGTGAAAACCAGAGGCATATGAGACTATCCAGGGGTGAAAGAAATGGGAAATGAATGTGTTAGAAGTCCACATACCAGTCTGCAAGATCACCATTAAAGGCCAGTATTAAAAGGAGGCTAAAGAGACTGTGATATAACTATTCTGACAGGAGGTGGCTTTAAAAAATAGGTTGGTTAGACTCACTAAAAAAGGAATATGTCAGACAGATGAGCTGGCAAATCTAACTGGTTAAAGTAGAAGGAGATAGGTCCCTAGAGGAGGAGGTAAGCTATGGGAAAAAACTGGTAGTGGTGGTTTCCATGAAAAAGGGCTGGCTGAGCATAATAGCAATGAACAGCCATAACTGTAAATAAAAGACAATTGGGAATGAAAAGATCATATTATGATGAAATAGAAGGGAAAGAGATGGGGGAAAAAATCAACTGATCACCCACCTGGACAGTTCAGCTCTTTGGAAGAAAGGATTGGTAAGGGAACAAATCAACAAATCTTTATGATACAGAGGATGGGAGGAGGTGTGATTGTCCCAACAAAGATGACCACAAGCAAATAGAAGCAGAAAACAGCCAATGGAAACAGTTCTAAGCATGAGGTAATGGGAACAGAAAACACTGCTTGATATCCTAAAAGTGTTGAAACAAACTGGGGGCTATGACAAAAAAAAAGAAGGTAAAGCATTAGAGTAAAAATGCAAGGTGGGTGGAGGGTGTGGTGAAATATCCCCAGGTCATGTTGGAAAATGTGCCACCACAAATGATAGGGAGAGAAATATAAATGGAAAGGCATAAGGAAAGAAAACGAATGGCAAGAAATGTGCTACAATCCTCCAGAGCTCATTGAAGGGGATACATGTGTAGAAAGAAACTCAAGACCCCAAAAGCAAGAAAAACTCACACACAAGAAGAGAAAGATACTGAAAAGCCTTCAATACTATGATTTCCATGGATATGAAGATGCAAAAGAGATGGTTGAGCCTGACTCATATACAAGAAGTAAAAAAACTCCCAAGAAGATGCAAAGAATCAAAGAGAACAGATGGACAGATAAGAGGGTGAAGAAGTAGTGAGTAGAATTGATAAGACAAAAAAAGGAGGGGGGTAGCCCCACAGGACTCCTGAGGTCATGTACCCAGCTGATATATTCATGGTTGAGTAAGATGATAAACCAGGAAAGTGAAAGAAGATTTTCTGGCAAGCAGCCCAAGCCCAAGAAGCCAAAGACTGATGCAGTAAGAAAAGGGTCAAGACTTTGGCCAAGGAGAGAAGAGGAAGGGAAGCAAACACCTGGAAGAAAATCATCTAGACATAGGATATTACAAGAACAGAGAAACCAAAGCAAAATAGATGAATTACAAGAAGTATGGAAGTCAAAAGGGGCAAACAAATAGGAATGGGTTGCCACATCAAAACAACTGGGATCTCAATGAAGAACTACAATGAGGAGATGAAGGGTGGAAGTATAGCAAAAGAGTAGAGCAAAGATAAGATGAAGACAAGCCAATTGCAGGAAAGAGAGAAACAAAGAAAGAGTAAGAGGAGAGCCCAAAGCAGATAGAAGGAACACAAGAGACTGTGGTACAAAAAATATAGAAAGTTCAAGATCACAAGCCATAGCAAAGAAGTCACAAATACAAGAAGACAAGGAAGATGTGGAAATGGGACAGAAGAAGGCCCACAAAGTAAAACTAACCAAGAGTTAATATGATATACAGGCAAAAAAGATTAAGAGTCACATACCTGAGTCATGAGCATAGTAAACAGAAAAGTAGGTACCTATTTTTCATCAGAGAGATAAGAGACAGAAGCAAGGGCTCGAGGTGGAAGAGCTGGCCAAAATCATCCACAGGTGAGGCAGGCTCCACAGAAGGTAATGAAACAGAATGATGAGGGACTTGAGCTGGAGAACTGGTGGACAGAAGAGAACCAGCCACCTGATGCATGATAGCAGTAACATCACGTTGAAAAAACATCAGCAGTGAACATGTTGTCATTCCATAGTTCACCACAGCCCTATAACAGCATCTGCTCTAATAAGTGAGCTAAAGGGATAACTACTGAACATCACCTCCATGAGCAGATAAGGTACTTCTGTTGACCACTGAAACAATTGGAAAAAATGCCTGATAAGGAACAACTGTTTTTTATTTTTGCAATCACTGTGTGAAGTAACACAAAAGAGTGATATGGTGGCTAGAGAAAATGAAGTTGCAATCAGGTAGATGAAATGAAAGTGTTACAAGGACAAAAGTAATGTAACAATAACTGAAGAAAAGTAGCAGATCAAAGAGATTATAAACTAAAAAAATACAGGAAAATAATATGTCTAGACACAAGCAGTGATAAGGAAAGAATGAGCCTATGATCATGTGCTAGTACTCTTGAGAATCACTATACATGGAGGTTGTGTCACTCTCCAATTGGTGGAGAGATAGAACATTATGTCAGTTACATCAAAGGTACATCTAGGGGAGAGAGTATGTTCAAGGCTTGTGGCATTAACAGGAAATTCCACGGCAGTTGAACACAAGGTACAGAGTAAGTAACATTTCACAAATATGCTGAGTTAAATGACAGATGTCATCAACCAAAGAGAAAACATTATAATGTTAGCTCAATTACCTAGGATAGTCAGTTAACTGAGCTGCTACAGATAAACTACTTAATACTCTAAGAAACCAACACACAGGCAACTAACAACAAACTTTAAGACTTGGGAACTAATACAAAAGGCGATCAAGTCAAATAAACATTAATATGTGTGGAAAATACTCGAGGAATCTTGCCTACAAATAAAGACTTGTAGATGGTTCATTAGTAGGGATTACATTTTGTTTCATTGAAAAGTAGAACAACAGTTAATCATTTTAAGAACATCTTAGAAACCAGATGTCTTATAAATGACAATGCATGTTCCAGTAGAGAAGAGCTTTGGTAGATTAGTTTACCATGTATGAAGAAGCCTTCACTAATATACCCTAGTCTGTTTAATTACATATATATATATATATATAATGAAATAAATAGCTTTAAAACTATTATATACATTAATTACATTATTGTTAATAGGTGATTAAAATCAGTGCTATAAAACAATAATGAACTTAATATAAAATAAGCATTCAGAAGGTCTTTGCAAAATCTGTTTTAAATCCCAGTTGTCACCATCAACATCCATTATGCCTTTACGAATGGAACTTAAAATGGATTTTGCAAAGAACTTCTTAATGTTTATTTTTTAAATATGTATAAATACGCAAAACATGTATACCCCTACATGCACATAGTAACTGCTATATTCCACTGAGAAATAGTAACACATAACACACACAAATGAATTCAAAGTAGGAAGGAGAAGGAAAAGGTGGCATAAAATAAATATGAGAATGAACATAAACAAATATGATGAAAGCATAATACTTGATCATAGCAAGTAGTCATTTGTTAAAGAAACAGGTGCAAGGCTGAGGAAATTATTTTTCACTGATGCATTGTGGAAAACGTCTCAAGGTACCACTTACAGTTACATGAACATTATGTATGTTGTTAGCACCTGGTGCTTGGGAATTGAAAACATTGAAAAAGTTCTCATATTGCTTGATCCTTTCAGTAATCTAGCATCCATGGCATTAAGTTCTAATGGGAGATAAGCAAATATTTGGAAAGAACATTCTTCCTCAGGATATTTACAAAATAATTCAGAAGTGCATTGCTTTCCTATGAATGTAATTCACTATTGTAAATAGTTTTAGTGTGAAAAGTAAAAAAACATAAACATGTATACTAAACTGTCTCCTGCTTCTCCTTTTTACAATTCCTAAATTATGCATGTCTTACAACGTGTCTCCAATAAAACTTATTCATTACATCTAGTCATCAGAAAGAAAGATAACTATGAAATATTCTTCAATCTTCCTGTTACAAAGATATCACACAGAACATATAGTCAATACAATTTATGTATATCTTTCCTGTTTTAAGAAATATAGCTTTGATGAGTAAATAAAATAATCCAATAGTTAATTTTTAATTAACTGTAAGGTGCTAGACTAAACTGGATCCATGTTACTAAAAACAAGTCACCTACTGTAAATATTGTGGATGTGTAATATCTACATGTACAGTTTTAAAGGTTTGAAAGTGACTACCTGATTAAATTTTCTAGGGTTCCCTGTAGTCAACTGTAGCTAACAAAACAGGCATTGATCTTCTACTGATAAGCCATATGGAGCTCTGTATATATTATGAACTCCTGAATATTTTCTTAAACAATTATAAATGCCTTTTTAAACATAAAAACTCATTTCTTACCTTTGAAAAGTTCTTCATTTATAGCTTTAACATTTCTCCCTACAGTTGCATAAAACTCCTTTGTCACAGTACTGAATATTTTCTCATAATGTAGAAATTCTACAAACAGTTGCTTAAGAACATTCAGACCTTTTTCATCAAGTGTCTGTAAATATAACAATACCTTTAAATTGTTACAAGTATCATACTGTAATTATTGCTAACTAGCCATCCTTACCCGGTATTGCCCAGGTATTACCTAAACAGAGGGCCGATGTTTAGCTGTTTTTAAACAGAAAGGATCAAAATTTCGCTTTTCATGTAACAATACCCATCAAATGGTCATATTTCTGAGATAAATGGTTCAAGGCATAAAAATTAAAGAAAATAAATGAAAACCAAAGATTTATTGTATAGTTCATACCTCTAACCCAACAGTCATTGCAATGCCTCTGGATAAATTACATTTTTAGTTTCTTGTGGAGTCTCACTGTCAATTTTGTTGCATACGTTTTGCTGTTTGTGATCAGCAATCAGAATTGTTTTTGTTTTGTTTTGACATTTTACTTTGAGGTACAGAAATGTTTATCATACCTAATTCCACTCTCCCCTCCCAAAATAAAGTGAATAAAAATCAATTTATTTTTACAGAATTTTGCAGATTTAACTTGTATATTTTATAAAACGTTAGTCTTGTTTGTCTGTATACATGACAGCATTTGATGGATTTCTATTCTGACACCACAAAGCGGCACACATCTCTATAAAATACACATAAACTTTTCTAATGTTATTCCCACTTAAATCAAACTAAAAGTATGGTCCGTATTCTGTGGAAAAAATTAGATTTCAAAGTTTTCATTGACACTAAGAATTTGATGTCACAGATGTTAAACCTGAGTATGCTTATTCCATATCTTTATAGGCCTACTATTATAGGGTTGAAAGATGCAAACAAATAGACACAAATTTAGCTTGAAGAAAGTTTTGCATTATTCGTATCTCCTTCAATTATTCTTTTTTACAATAAGGTCAAATTTGTTTTTTTGCTGCACAGGTAATAACGATTTTTTTATCAATTTGAAAACCATAAATTTTATTTGTTCAAATACACACAATCACTGAAAGAACTCTTAAATGATAAAAATGCAAAAATATCATTTTTACTGCAATTTTCTTATCAATATATAAGTTGAATTCTTTTCTATGTAAGGTTTTATTTGAAATAACAACTTTATAATAAAATTCCTTAACCTCACACATATTTTAAAGTAGTTTTTTAGATACAAATGAACAAACATTTAAATATAATCATTTCTACCAAGAATATGAATTCTAACACTTTTATGCATGTTTTTTTTATGTTACATAACTGTTATTGTTTTACATTATTGGTGGAAATGATGATATGAATTGCAACACTTTTATGCATAGTTTCTTTTAAAAAATATAGAACAATAATAGTTTGGTAACAACAGGTTTTTAAAAATGATGTACAAAATAAAACCTAAACTCTTGTTCAGCCCTCGAGTTAACCACCATTCTCTCAGCTAACCCAACTAATCAACTTACTTTGTAATTTAAAATCAAAGCCAATATTTAAAAACTTACACAAACACAATATCTACGTGGTTTCAATGCAAAATTTTACAATATGTTATTTAATGAATGAAATATTCCTTTATTTTTTCTCTACATAATACATATAAATGTATTTTCCTTATGATTATCATATTGAAGCATTCAATTTATATTCTATATTCATCTAAATTGTATGTATTTAATAACTTTAATACCATATGTCAGTTATTGTCATAATTGTAAGTATTTAATAACTTTAATACCAGATATTAGTTATTGTTACGACTATCGCCTAGATAACTATTTTAAACAGAGTTTTATCACCTAGTACATTGTTGCCCAATGAAGGTTCTGGTAAGAGGGCCGAAAGCTCGCAAATAACAAATATTTTAACATAGAAAAAATTCTGTGTATAATAAAAATAATATCCAAATGCAAATCCCTTAGAATTCCCTTAGTATCTGTGGAAAGTTTCAGGTCTCTAGGTTCTTTCCTCATGGAGCTATGGCACTGATTTATTGATACACAAATACACAAGCTGTTTTATTAGTATAGATTGATTAAGTAAATAAAACTGCAATGCAGAAAAAAAAATTTACTATAGTCTCTTTTTACAACTTTCTTTTAAAGGATAGTTTATAAAACAATATAAACATGTAGTATGTTCAATTTGATATCATATACTTGGATGATATCAATAAGTCTGATGTTAGTTAAACTATCACATGTTAATTAAATGGATAGCTGAATATTAAAAATTTTTGTAAATAATGCTTCACTGAAGGTTTCAAAACTGGTTATGTTCTTTTACAGGGATGGTTTTTCAACTTTTTCAACTTAAATAAATCAAACTTTTTATGTACCTAAGCAAAATACGTTGCAAAAAATTACTGGCATGATTTGGTGGTATTTGCAAACTATCTTTGTCATATAAGTAAACTTCATACTTTAAATTAGTGTTATTTATTGGATCACTGTGCAAAAAAAAATAAAATAATTAGTCTCACAACTGTTCTTAGTGCCACCTGCAACATCTTTCATCAAAAGTTGCAAATTACTACATATATATATATATATATTGTTACATGTAACAAAGATTATGTGATGCATTCACTGGGTTAGTTTGTCATCCACAAGAGATTTAGACATTTCTCTAAACAATTCTTGACAGATGTATGAGATAGAAGTCCTTAAAGTTAAGATGTTGTTTGTGAAAACTGCTGGTATTAAAGATTAATTACACTTTATAATAATTTCCAAGCCTTGGAACTAAACAAAAGTTATTGCAATGATGAAACACCCACATATAACACTCACAGTCTTAGTAAGAGACAGAAAAAAAAATATATATATATAATAAAAACAATACATAAATAAAAAAAACAAACAAATAATTAACAAACACTGTACCTCATTCGCTGTCTTTGCTACAATGTACTCCTCTACATTTATGTCATAAGAAGGATTGTAATCAGAGATAAAATCAACAAGATTATCAAAAAGCTTCACTGGACAACTACTCATTATGAAATGTTAAGTTCTTCACCTATCAGGAAAGATTTTTTAATGCTGAAATATAAACCAAAAACTTCGTAAGAAACTGTAATACAACAAAGGAATGGAGAATAGAAAAAACAACATAAAAACACATTCTTAATCCTGTGTTCTCAATTATTACTTTCATGAAGTTATAAAGAGTACTAAAAGACATAGTAGATATAACTGAAGTAACAGATTTTTAGCATTTAGTTTGTGCAGATGAGTAACTAAAGGAGGGAAGGAAAACAAAAGAGACAGATAGGGATGGAACCAAAAAATGCATGGAGGTTATAGTTATAGGTTATGGAGAGCGAAGTAGTGTGAAATTGTGAACTGAATAAAATATTCATATACGTAAGCTGTGTGAATAAAGAAAGAATTGTGTTTCTAATTTTCCAGATGAGGGCAAGTGCCCCTTGTCCCCCCCCCCATGTCTGTGAGGAAAATAGAGAGAAAAAATTAGATTATTTTATCCAGAAAGAGGATATAACTGACAACTGACAGAGCAAGTGATACAGTAAAAGGTACTAGCAGTGATGTTCTTTGTAGTGCACATAGGGTCTATTGATGTAGGAAATGGAAGGTCAAAGGACCTAATTGATAAGTACAAAGGATTGATAAAGGCACTTTTAGAAAAGAGACAATGCCAAGACTTAACTGTGTGGATATAATTATTAGTAGGTCACTAAGGCTGAATGCTAGGTTTAGGTCAATATGAGAGGATTAAAAGATTGGCTGTTTAGATTTATGGGGTGTATTAACTGGGAAAAACAGAGCTTTTTAGAATGGATGGTTTATATTTAAATAGGGTAGGAGCTGGCTTGTTTGCAAAAACCATTAAATCAACAGTAAAAGTAGTTTTACACTGTGACTAGACAGTGGTAAGGGCCAGAATAATGAAGAGCAAATAGGATGTAGAGAATAGTATTGTGCAGGGAGAAAGTTAATGTTTTCCTTACCTGAAAATGTATTTCAGATAGATAGTCACCTTTCCATACCATAAATAGCTGTAACATTTTGCACATTGTTGTCTAAATTCCTGTGCATGCCACAAGCCTTAACAAAGCTCCCACCCCTACATGTGCCAACATGTATTGCAACAGCTAATCATCAGGAACACTAGTGCATGAATACTGCTTCATTCTTGATGAAGCAAACTAAATGCACTAGAAGTGGGGGGGGGATGGAAATGTTAGAGAGAGGTGAGTAGTATCCTTTTGAAATACATAGTCAGGTAAGGAAAATGTTAACTTCAAACATTTTACTCACTTCTCTGTACCACAACGAGCTAGAATCTAACATTGAAGATGGTAAAGGAATCAGAGCAGAGAAGTTCCAATGATGAGATCCTTTCTGAAAACAGCACCAAAATGTGAAAGTATGTGTAGTATGACATCCATGAAGCCTAGTGGGCAGCATTCCATGGAAGACTGCACCCATCTCAAGAAGGGAATACGCATCACCCAATTGAGATAGTAGACTAAGAATCTTTTGTAGGGTGCTAATGTGTCATTAAGGAGGCTAAGATGATAAGTCAACCCTTCATATTTGTAGAAATATGCAAAATATTCACCATAAAAACCAGGTGCAGGAAGTAAGGTGAACTTAGACTCATCCAGCTGGACCTAACCATTAGGAATGGCTTGGTTCAAAAGACAATACGTGTCCTGTACTACACTTTCAGCTAACACTCCAGCCATACTTTCCAAATGAGGAGTGTGACCACTTGATCTCATACCAATGGGATTTCACTGCACAATATACAACTCTCCATATCTACTTCCCCAGCAGCTTGGGACTGGGGAAGCAAGGGTTTTTCCATACCCTACTAGAGGAAATGTGGAGGGAGAACTGAGAGACAGTGCAATAGATTATCTTGACCCAAAATAGCAGGCACAAACCAGATGTGAGGGCAAATACACACCTAGTGCTGTCCTTTTTTTATGTGCAGAACAGTCTGGAAGATATGCATAGACACTTCCAAAGCATGTCTTGCAGGAAACCCCATCTAAACAGTGGGAACTGAGCAGAGGCAGATGGGCTTAACACTTTTCCTACTCCCCCACTTGGTGTGAGTTTTGGGTAAGTATTCCCTGGGAGCCAATGCTGGACACTCAGTGGTTTCCTCATTTACAAAATATAATTATATATATATATATATATATATATATGTGAATAAGGTGGTTGTGAGACCTCAAATGAAAGAAGAAAAATAAAAATACC